TATATATATATATATATATATATACCCTTGCAAACATTTGTGTATTTGAAGCGTAACCACAAACCATTGAACCAGTTCTGAGCTATTTACCCCATGATCACCCAGATTTTGGCAAGAAAATTATTAATTCATTCTCAAAGGCATTAACGGTTAATGCCATTATAACATTGCACAGAGTAGTGAACAAAACATACATGCAAAAAGAAACAGCAGGAAAAGCATAAGAATGATATTCTGCTTAAGAAAACATTTCCATAATGCATGCATTTTGACAGGAGACTGCTTTACAGTCCAGCTTTATGCATAACCAAAGGCTTCCCATTATACTAAATGGGGCTGAACAAGTAAGTCATGTCACCTCTGAGTTGAATTCAACAGTATGGAAGTGGTTGGTTATTCCTGTCTTCTGGTGAGCGATGGTGGTGGTGGTGACTCTCAGTACTAAAAAACGGGAAGTCAGAAGCTAAGGTGGAAAATTTACAAAGAGGTGTGTGCATTTATATAGGTCAAATTCATATACCTGACCAGGACAATTATAGCTCCCAGGCTGCCAGTAGCCCCCACCTTCCATTCTTGTGGCCATCTGAATCCTGAGGACAATTTCTCACTATTTTGAGGTGGGAATGCACATGAAAATTGTAACCTAAATCCTAAAACAGACAAATTTCAGCTAGAAACAAAGAGCCATTCAAAAAACCCCTCTACCCTACCTTCCTATGTGAGGTGGCCTCACTGATCTTGAAGCTTTTCGTTTTAATGAAACCCTTAGCCACAATAACACATTTTAAAGCAATTTATTCTCGTAGGATTGAGTTGGGATTTAATCATTTCCTTCAAGATTTCTTTGGACTCTGTGGTGCTTGATAAAACATCGAGCGAGTTTGAGAGAGTACTTTTTAAAGCTTGATAAAAAGTTCTTGATAGCACTAATATCTTAGTAATCTTTCGAGCTAAAATAGGACAAGAAGGAAGGACAATAATTATTCTTATTCGCAAGACATTGTTGGGTGTGTGTAAGCATCTTTGGGCTCAAATGGATTTTTAAAGGAGGCTGATTACAGTAAAATCTGTAAAAAATGGAAGTAAAGAAAAACTATGCATAATGGAAAATCGTTTCCGGCAGCCATCATACACAGAGCATCTGTTTGCGCTGAAGTGAAGCATGTCCACCTTAAATGAGCTCCATGAACCAATCCTGTGAGTTGTGTTTGGAAGGGAAGTGGCAGGGGGGCTTTCTGGAATATGAAATGTAAAGGGGTGTGGATGTGTTATCACAGAATCACGGGAAAGCCTCTTGCAAACAGAGGACTAAGCATATCCAGGGGCCACAGAAAGCTATTGAGTGATGCCCAGAAAAGTGGAAGAGTGTGGGGAGGAGAAAAGAATCAGATTTATGGATTCCTGCAGGATTCCTAGTAGTGCCATGTAGTGAGTCAGGCATCCTTTAAAAGCAGCGTCACCTTTGTTGACTGCAGCCTTTGATGAAGTCATTCATTACCCAGTGGTCCTGTATAATCGGCCTGAATGGAAACTTTTGCCTCCATCCTGCATATTTACTTGCATATTTCAAGGCAACAGAAAGCAGGAATGAATCATCACCGCAGCCTGATTTGATTCCCTAGTTAATGCAGCAGTTCACCATGGACAGGACAAATTGCAAGGTGGCAATCTAATGGAGTAGTAAAATTGGTCTGGGTGGAAATAAGCCAGCAATTTAGAAATGGTTTTTTTGACAGTTCTCTTCTGGGATAACCAGGCCTCCTGCTGGCCGCCTTGGCAAAATTACAAAATCACTAAAGCAGTAATAATGAAGAATCTCCTTCTTGTTAGGGCCACCAGATCTGGGCTGTAACCCTTGGGGTGGCCACTAGATGGCCACAAAGAGATACAGGAAAAATTACGCAATCCTATAACCTCCAGATTTCTGCAGCCAGGAGTCAAAAGTGACTCGAAGGGACGTATATAGACACATAGATTATAAAGTTATAATTATATAGTTTATAGTACTATATGAAACTTTCATAATTTATAATAATAGGGTTTGTTTTATATAGCCTGACTTTTGAATTAATTAATGTATTTAGTTTAACTGTTTTTGGGTTTTACTCTAATTCTGAGCCGCCCAGAGTCACCCACTGGGGGAGATGGGTGGCATACAAATTTAATAAATATAAATAAATAAATAAATAAATAAATAAATTGTGTGTGTGTGTGTGTTAGTTCAAAGTCTGTAACTATATATAAAAATAAATGTAGAATTCTGTATACTGATAACAATGGCTCAGGACCAAAGTAACAAAGGCTACCATCAGTAACACACTATGCCGCCAGGGACTCAAATCCT